AATAGGACCAAAAAAAGTGATGACATGAAAAAAATAATAATATAAAAAAATATTATAAAAAATAAAACTTAAAAAAATTATTTTTCTTTTTCCTTCTTTCCTTTTCTCTTTCCCCTTCCCTTCCCCTTCCCCTTCCCCTTCCCCTTCTCTCTCCCCCACGCTTGGGTTCGACGGAACCCAGGCGCGGGCCTGGGTTCGACGCAACCCAGGCGGCGCACCTGGGTTCGACGCAACCCAAGCGCGGCCTGGGTTCCATTGAACCCAGCGCCTGGGTTCCACTTAACCCAGCGCCTGGGTTCCACTGAACCCAACGCCTGGGTTCGATGCCCAGCATGCCTAGGTTCCAAAAAAAAAAAAGAAATTTCTGCTTTCTTTGTTTGGGTTTTGTTGTTTGATGATATGAGAAATTGATTGATGAAGTTGAAGAAGGCAAGGTAGCAGTTGGGTTTTTGCAGGTGGATGAAGATGAGGAAGGCATAGGTGCTGGGTTCGATTTCGAACCCAGCAGGTAATTGAACCCAGCAGGCACTGTGTTCAAGCTGGGTTCCTGCAGGTGCTGGGTTTGATTTGAACCCAGCAGGCACTGAGTTCCGTTTCGAACCCAGCAACCCTTGGGTCAATGGATCTGTTGAGTTCCATTGATCTGTTGTCTGTTGGGTTCTGTTTCAAACTTAACAGTCGTTGGGTCGATGGATCTGTTGAGTTCGATTTATTTATGGATTTGTTATTTGTTGTGTTATCTTCATATTTTTGCAGGTTCTAGATTCGATTTTAAACCTAGCAAGTGTTGGGTTTTGTTTCCAACCCAACTACAGTTAGATCGAAAGATCTATTGATTTTTATCTGTTGGTTTGTTGTGTTATTCTCAGATTTAATATTAGGAAATGTTAGGGTTTGCAGAAGGTGAAAGGAAAGGGAGAGGAAGAAGAAAGGGTAAAAAGAAAAACAAATAAAGAAAAAAAAAATTTTTAAGGTAATTTTTTGCCATCTCATTTCTTTACCACGTTGTCATCCTAGGTGTCAAAATGTTTTAACATGTCATCCTTTTCTCTGTCAAGTAACAAGACACGTAGGCCAATATTTAACGGAAGGACCAAATTGGGGTTAAAATGGTAAACAGTAGGAACCAAATCAGGGATTTTTTTAGTTTAGGGACCAAATCAAAGGTCTGTACAATTGTTCAGGGACCAAAATGAGGTTTTAACCTATGGAGAATGGTATACCGTATACAGGACGAAAATTTTTGGGACTAAAACTTGGATTTAAATTTAAAATATTAAAATATACA